TGAGGGGAATCAACTCAGATTAATCAGTTTAGTCTTCATCAAGAAAGCTCAACTGAAATGACTGTTGAGGACAAGTTTTAAGAAGCATTAACTATTTCAGTCAATAAACTGAAAACAGATCCCAGAATATCAGTCTACATGATCTGTAACCAAGTGCTCTCTCATTTTTAATGGAATGCAGGATCTGTTAACAAAGCAAAATAAACAAACAAAAGATTGAAATAAAATCACACAAGCAAACAAGTAAAATGCTCTATTTCAGAGAAACAAGCTATACTTCTGTCTTCAGAACATAAGCAGGTGAGGTTAAGGAACTTCATTTTACATTAACATTGACATTCAAGACAGAGTAGAGCAAAATATCAACTCCTCATGCCAAAAATACTATTGAATCCATACAGCATGACAGAGAATAACCTTACAGATCCTTGGGGGAATATATTCTCCATTTCAATTTGCATCTTTTACTTTTCTTCAAATGCTTTTTGGTTTTGTAGAGTGAGATATATTGGAAAGTAAATAAATGCAAGTACTGAATAAGAGAAGTATTACCCATGCCACGTAGATTTCAGTGCTTATTTACACATGCTTATATTTGAATTTGCAGACCTTTGGAAAAAAAAAAAAAACAGCAAGATGAAGTGCTGTATCAAAGCAGACCTTTTTATGAATGCATTTGTCATTATGTGAGTCAAGACCAGACAGCAGCCATCTATTTAACTTAGTCACTCAGGTGTGTGCCTTCACATAGCTTACTCATGAGAGAGAGTTTTCTTTCTATGTTTTGTACCACTAAAAGAAAGCAAAAGAAGCATGAGAGCTGTGATACTATATACCAGCAGCTGATTGGTCTTCTACGTTTTGTACCACTAAAAGCAGGACTTTGAATGAACATTGATTCTGAATCAAAATCACAGTGTTTTGCCATAGAAATGGAGCAAGTCCTCTGGGTACCATTTCAAGTCTATCATTTCCAGAAGCATGAGAGCTATGATACTATATACCAGCAGCTGATTGGTATATATCACTAACAGAACAGACTGGATAAAAGTAATTAGAAATTATCAATATAAAATATGTGAAAGGCAAAAAAAAAAAAGGACATATAGAGTCTTCTCTATATAAGCAAAGTGAAGTACACTTCCCATCTGTTGTACTGCATTTCCCTTACAAATGCAGACTCTGATAAATTAAATTTCATCCCTTATGGATGCCTTACAAGATAGGTGTCAGGTAGACAAGGGCAATTATTAATCAAATTCCTAAATGAAAGCGCACAGGAATATATCTGAAGTACTTGGGATGTGAAATCAATAACTACTAAAATCAAGACCTTGCACAGGATTTCTTGCAAAAGTACTGAAATTCAGTGGTCACTACAGAAAATATTTCTAGTCACTGAATACTGTTGTCAACTTTATGGCTTAGGAATTGTAGATGGTTAACATTTTTTAAATGATATGATCGATGACTGTGGTGCTTGAATAACAAATATATTTCTTTATCACTAGATCATCTGACTCACCAAAGGAAGAGCTCATCTAAGCACCTAGTTGCAGCAAGTAACTACACAAGATAGTTCTAGGTTACACCTTTGTTCTTTCAGTAGAACACATTTGTTGAGGTTTTCTACTTTTATATTTAAAATGATAATCCTTTAATAAACTCTAGCACACTACATTCCAGTCACCATGTGAAATTTTGGACCAAAGACAGTAATCATTCCTTTAAAAATATGGGCAATGTGCTTATAGTGATTTCAATTTCATAATGCTTTCAGGATGCTTTCCACTATATTTTTAATGTCTGTATCAATAACAAATTAGCAGCACTTTTCATCAATATGCATGTGCAGGGGGGTTGGACTAGATGACCTCTAGAGGTCCCTTCCAACCTTAAGCATTCTATGATTCTATGATTCTGTATATATTTTGAATACAATCCAATAAAATGCTCTGATAAGAACAACTCACATTCTTTGCTCCCCTTACTATGTTTATAAATGTATTTCTAGATAAGGATAAAAACTAAGGGGAAAATATACCACATTTACTATACTGCAAAACTATGTGCTATACTGTACTGCTGGTCATTATGACAGGTGAGTGAAAAGGCACTAATAAACAGCTCACTTGAAAACAGCAGGAAATAAAAGACCAGTGAACTGTAGTGTTAAAATGCACTGACTGCAAATGTAGATACACTTAAAAACTAGGCCCCTTGGAAGCATGATTATTATGTGCTAAAATATCCAGTGACAGCTAACAAATGGAAAACACTACATGCATTAAATCTGGCCATCCAAACCCATAAAAACCATAAAAACTCCACAAAAAATCACTTGACCCATCCAGATTTTTCTAGGGTCTTCATTTTACAGAAAGAAGTGGGAGTTGGTCTCATGAGTGTATGTTTACAGGATGGATGGATTTGACATAAGTAAAAATTGTAACTGACCTAAAAAAATTAGTCTGTTTAGCTAGAGTCAACAGGGAACACACCATGTTGTGCTTGCTAGGATGCAGGAATCCCAGTGCAATAAATTAAGGCTTACATTTTACTACAAACAAGGAAGAGTTGTACTCTTCAGTCTGCTGCAGCAAGTCTTTGTTGCTCTATTTTAGTTTTTCTTAATTTGGATTTTTCATTCTCTTTGAAATAATCCAATGCTCCTATTCCTCTGGGTCTGTTGCAAAGGCATCTACCACACACTCAGAAAGCTGCATCTCCTAACATCACAGCTGACTGCTTCATGTGCTGGTGGTATATATTCGCAGATTCACAGAATGGTTAAGGT